TCTGAATTTAATAGGAGAAAATTATTGGTCATCCAATCTTTTACATTTTTAACACACTCTGTTAGCTTAGATAATTTAGAAGTTTCATCTGGTCTTGTTGAGATATATAGTTGAGTATCATCGGCATAACAGTGGAAACTAATCCCGTATTTCCTAATAATATTACCAAGTGGCAACATGTATATCGAAAATAGCAGAGGACCTAGGACAGATCCTTGTGGCACTCCATGTTTTACTGGTGATAATTGAGATGACTCCCCATTTAAATGAACAATGTGGTAGCGATCGGACAGGTAGGATCTAAACCATCTTAAAGCCTGCCCTTGGATACCTGTATAGTTTTGTAATCGATCTATGAGTATGTCATGATCTATAGTATCGAATGCAGCACTAAGGTCAAGTAAAACTAGCAATGAGACACAGCCTTGGTCTGACGCAAGAAGCAAGTCATTTGTAATTTTAACAAGTGCAGTTTCTGTGCTATGGTGGGGCCTGAAACCTGACTGAAATTCTTCATAGAGATCATTTTTTTGCAGGAAGGTGCACAATTGAGCAGACACAACTTTTTCTAAAATTTTAGACATAAAAGGAAGATTTGAGATGGGTCTGTAATTTGCCAGTTCACTAGGATCTAGTTGTGGTTTCTTAATAAGAGGCTTAATGACCGCCAGCTTGAATGTTTTTGGGACGTGACCTAAAGACAACGACGAGTTAATAATATTGAGAAGCGGTTCTTCTGCTACAGGTAACAACTCTTTCAGTAATTTAGTGGGTACAGGATCTAACAGGCATGTTGTTGGTTTAGATGCAGTGATAAGTTTATTTTGCTCTTCCTGTTGTAAAGCAGTAAAGCACTGCAGTTTATCTTTTGGTGCGATGAATGAAGCTAAAGTATTATACGCTGTAGAATCTACATGTATTTCTGAATTTCTGATGTTATCTATTTTATCAGTGAAGAAATTCATAAAGTCATTACTATTAAACTGTGAGGGAATATTTGGATCGGGTGGCGTCTGGTTATTTGTTAATCTAGCCACTGTGCTAAATAAAAACCTAGGATTGTTTTGGTTATTTTCTATGAGTTTGTGGATATGCTCGGCCCTGGCAGCTTTTAGAGCCTGTCTATAGCTGGACATACTGTTTTTCACGCAATTCTAAAAACTTCCAAGTTAGTTTTTCTCCATTTGCGCTCAAGACTACGAGTTTTTTTCTTGAGAGAATGGGTATTACTGTTGTACCATGGCGCAGTACGTTTTTCTCTAACCTTTTTCAATTTGATGGGGGCAACAGCTTCTAATGTATTAGAGAAGTATTTCTTGAGAGAATGGGTATTACTGTTGTAGCATGGCACTGTGCGTTTTTCTTTAACCTTTTTCAATTTGATGGGGGCAACAGCTTCTAATGTATTAGAGAAGAAAGTGGACATGTTGCTAGTCATTATTTGTGAATCTGTCTTTGGTGGCTGGAACAATAGTTCTGCCCGTACAATAACGCGGAGCCATATAGATCATATCAGTAATACACAGCATGCACGATACAAGGAAATGATCAGTAGCATCATTACTTTGAGGTATGATATCTATATCAGTAAGATCAATTCCATGCGATATAATTAAATCTAGCGTGTGATTAAACCGATGAGTGGGCCCGGTGACGTTTTGCTTGACTCCAACCCTGTTGAAAAAACCAGCATATGCTGGTTAGGTATGTTTTGACGCTGGGATGCTGATTTAAGCTGGTCCTTTGCTGGTTTAAACTGGTCCTTTGCTGGTTTATGCTGGTCCTTTGCTGGTTTATGCTGGTCATGTGCTGGCAAAAAATCTGCATAAACCAGCAAAGGACCAGCTTAAACCAGCAAATGACCAGCTTAAACCAGCAAAGGACCATCTTAAACCAGCAAATGACCAGTTTAAACCAGCAAAGGACCAGCTTAAATCAGCATCCCAGCGTCAAAACATACCTAACCAGCATATGCTGGTTTTTTCAACAGGGAAAATAATTTATTAGGTCAGTAAACGCAAGTCCTAATGCATAATTTGTATTATCAACGTGAATGTTAAAATCTACGACAATTAGCGCTTTATCAGCAGTAACCAATAGGTCTGCGAGGAAATCTGCAAATCCTTTTAGGAAATCTGTATATGACCCTGCGGCTCGCATCAAGTAATAGAACAGCCACGGGCTCCGCACACTCCTAACTCTGCTCTCTCTTACGAGTCTACATCCCCTCCAGAAGCCTACGGTCGGCCTCGTGGTTCCATCGCAGAGAGGCTCAAAATCACTCTCAGGGACGCTTTCTTTCACCACACACTGTTAGTGACATCCGGATAGCCGAATCTCTCACAATCTTTAAGAAACAGCTGAAAACTAATCTCTTCCATGAGCATCGAACTGCACCCTCCTAAAAAATAAAATTAAATAGATAAAATAGATAAATAAATTCTCTATGCTTTCACTTTTTCTATGCTCTCATTATGTACATTATATACATACATATTACATAAAGTCTCAAAACCAAAGAGATATTCTTTATCAAAGTTAAGACTCTGCCACCCCCCCCCAAAAACGGCTCGTTCTAACACGCCCTCACATATCTAGGTCACTATGTGGGAATATTTGCATAATGCGCCCAAATGTGCACGCAAAGAAAGAAGGCGTGGTTTCAGTAACCGCAGTTAGTGTTGAAGCAGCATGTCAGGGAGACGCTGTGCAATGCACTGGGTCAGCTGGCCAATCAGAGAAGACTGCGCTTGTCGGAAGGAGGGGCTTTGTAGAAAACGAAGCGTTTGAGAGAGGCGGGGCATAGAGGACCTACAATAATGTACAGTATTACAGTATTTGAAAAATAATTGTTGTTTTTTGAACATTAAAGCATGTCAACATATTCTGTTACACCAAATACACAAAATAACGATCTTTAAAAAAGCATCATATGACCCCTTTAATGCCTTCCTGTCCTAGCTTTTACTATTCTGAACAAATACTGAAACTTTGTATAACTGGCATTTCTCATGTTTATTGCCATCTTATGATGAATCGCTTGTTGTATTCCTCAACTGTAAGTCGCTTTGGATAAAAGCGTCTGCCAAATGAGTAAATGTAAATGTAGAATGTCCTTAAAGCTTTGAGCTGTCAGGTGATATACTATGAATGGCATATATTTAGATATTAATTATTTGTATGAATTGATGAAGATGTTTATCTGAGAAAAATAGTCATTTATCTATCTTCCAAATTCAATATCCATATAGTGTGTAACTTGTAGAAATGTGTAAAGGCAGATTTTCCACTTACTGCTGTGTCTCAAGCATAAGTTGAGTGGGCAAACCTTTCAACCTATCGCTTTTGGCACACGGACGCTACTTACAGGAGAGTTCTTCTTAAGCACTCAAATCAAATAAAGGTAAACAAACAAACAAATCACTCACACGTGTGCAGTTGCCCATGCATACCATCCGCATACAGCCAGATTTTTGTTTTTCATGTTGATTTTTATAAAAAAAATTTTTTATTATTGACTTGAAACCAGTGACAGACAGTACTTCATGACAATCAATTAGGCCTCAATGAATCCATAGTCCTGTAGAACTTTAGAAACAGCTGGTATAAGATCATTGGCGTAGTCCCAGAGATGATCATCTCTTATAAGGTTTGTGTTCGGTGGGTACGTGAAGTTTTTGAAGTGGTACATGCGAGCGATAGCATTATTCACCCGGACCGTAGGGCTTCCGTTCACACTTTCCAGCAGGCCATGGACAGTAGCCTTCTGAACCAGACGAGGATTTACTATAATCTTGTAATTGTTGAAAGCATTGCGGATGTTGGGTACTCGATCGATATAATTTAAAATATTTATTCCCTTTACATGCTTCCATGCTTCCATTTCGTGATCCACGTTAGGCTTTGCAGTAAACGGGAATTGATTATTCTCAAACTCAAAGCCCACATCAGTACCGTACATGTTCTCAAGCTCAGGCAACAACTCCGTCCAGGTTTTCACTTTGAAAGGCAGAATGAGTTCATCCATGTCTTGTAGAGCCAGATAGCGAGTTTGGTACATGTAACGATAAACACAGTCATTAAGCGCAGGGATTTGCCCATAGTAATGCAGCTGACCTGGTGATATATCTGGCTTCCAGCCTGTAGACACGACGATGTGCTTTTTAATCGTCCACGGGATGATCTCCACGAAACCGCTTTTCTCATAGTAGTCCAGAACCTTCTGTGTTTCTGAATCGCAGTTGGTTTTATAAATCACCACCCTTTGAGCGCCAAGCAGTCTGAACATCTCCATGGACTCGACTAAATTCAACACACTCTTGAAGTCGTACATGACAGAGATGCAGATTGTAAACTCATATGGGAATGTTGTTGGAGCGTCTCTGTTTCTAACAGGTTGAAAGGATGTTACGCTCCCCAAGACGCCACTGGCTGTGATTGCAACGTGCGTCAGTGTCAAACACAAGCTGTTGATTGGGCACGTGATGGTAGCGGTGCCGTATTCAAAGTTGAAGTGGTCAGAATGAATGGAGTACTCGGCATTCGACGTCACGTTCCTCCCATCGCAGCACATCACACAGCTGTACGTCGCCTGCTCATGTCGGAGAACAATGGCGATCGTGTTTATCTGTTTCTCTCTGAAACGATGATCCACATAAGAGCCGATCACATATGTGTTAAGATGGCCAACTTTAATCACAGGCCTGTCCTTCACTTGAACACCACACGCCTTTGGAGACGGAGGACTGGCGGATGTGTGTTGGATGTGTGGTGTTTGGACGAATGGCAAATGTGTGCTTGGGGGAAGATTTGGCAGATCGGAGTCTTTACTTTTATGGTTTTGCCAGATTTGTTTGGTAAAAGGTGCTTTAAAGAAATCTTCCAAATACATGAAGATGATAAAGAAAAGCACAAATAAAAAGCAAGACAAATAAAATATCTTCAGAGCACAAATCTTCTTAGAAGGCTTTGATTTGGATCCACTTTCTAGTAGCTCATATTTTCCTAGAGAAAAGAAAGAATACAAATGTTATGGTTGTCTCTACTGAAGCTGTTTGCTAAAGCAACACAACTGCTGAACATTTAGTCTCAATTGAATTTCATTCAAGCCACTTACATGTGTAAAAGTTTGTGTTGGGACTACAGGAATAATTTGTGTTGCAGTAACTGAAACTGAGCAGTGCATTTAAGTTCCCAGCATGCTTTGCAGAAGATTGAATTCAGAGAGTAAATGTTAAAACTAGATGAGTAAAGTTTGTAGACAAACTTTAAGTTGGCTCAAAAGCCTAGCCAGAAAGTTTGAAGTAGTTTTAAAAGCTTGCAGTCTGAAAGTTTTCAGTTTGAAGTAGTTTGAAAGTAAAAATGGTTTTAAAGATTAAAATTTGAATGTTTTCAAGGCAATACAGTCGATCAGAAACATATATATAAAACATATGGCTAGGGTACCTGGGGTGGTTGCTAGGCTGTTTCTAGCACGACTAGCATGTTGCTAACATGTTTTTAGCATGATTAACATGTTACTAGCATTTTGCTAGCATGGTTAGAATGTTGCTAGCACAATTAGCATTTGGTGGCATGGTTAGCATGTTATTAGCATGTTTTGAATATGGTTAACATGTTGTTAGCATGTTTTTATCATTATTGGCAAGTTACTAACATGTTGCTAGCATGATTCTAGCATGATTAAGTTGCTAGCATAATGCTATCATGTTTCTAACATGATTAGCATGTTACTAGCATATTGTTAGCATGATTTGCATGTTAATGGCATGTAGCTATCATGATTAGCAAGTTACTAGCATGGTTAATATTGTTAACAACATGTTGCTAGTGTGATTCTAGCATGATTAGCGAGTCACTAGCATGTTGCTAGCATGATTAGCAAACTACTAGCATGTTGCTGGCATGATTAGCATGTTGCTAGCATGTTTATAACATTATTAGCATGTTACTAGCATGTTTGCTAGCTTGTTTCTAGTATGGTTAGCATTTTACTAGCATGTTGTTAGCATTATTGGCAAGTTTACTAGCATGTTGTTTGCATGTTTCTATGCTAATACTAGTTACTAGCAGGATTAGCATGTTGCTAGCATAATGCTATCATGTTTCTAACATGATTAGCATGTTACTAGCATATTGTTAGCATGATTTGCATGTTAATGGCATGTAGCTATCATGATTAGCAAGTTACTAGCATGGTTAATATTGTTAACAACATGTTGCTAGTGTGATTCTAGCATGATTAGCGAGTCACTAGCATGTTGCTAGCATGATTAGCAAACTACTAGCATGTTGCTGGCATGATTAGCATGTTGCTAGCATGTTTATAGCATTATTAGCATGTTACTAGCATGTTTGCTAGCTTGTTTCTAGTATGGTTAGCATTTTACTAGCATGTTGTTAGCATTATTGGCAAGTTTACTAGCGTGTTGTTTGCATGTTTCTATGCTAATACAGTTAAAACCAGCTAAAACCAGTTTAGGCTGGTTGCCTAGTCTTAGCTGGTTTAAGTTGAAAATATCTGGATTAAGCTTGGTTGGTCTTTTAGCAGGTCTCACAGCTTGACCAGCTAAGACCAGCCTGACCAGCTAAAACGTTACCAAACCACTTTAAAACCAGCCAAAACAGCCAATCAGCGTAGGCTGGTTTTAGCTGTTTTTTTCAGTAGGGAGTTCTATGGCAGTAGACAGCTTAAAACACCATACGTCTCGTTGTATAAAAGTTTTCACACCCTCAATGAAAGTCTATGAGATTTGAGGTGGTTTTGATAGTCTGGTTTACAAAAAACCATAAGTCAGATCAGTTAGAAAAGATATAGCACACCTCTATGAAAGCTCTAGGATGAGATAGTGTTTACATTTTGGCTCAGAAGAATAATAATAATAGTAGATCAGACTTTCTCAAGCCAACTTAATTATTATTTTAAAGTAAAGGAAAATGCCTGTTAGTATTCATCGTTCAGTTATGTCTATTGTATGGACAGTGGAAAGTGTTTCTGTTTTGGGATTACCATTGTGCGGAAGAGTGCTAGAGTTGTGCTTGGGTTGTAAGATTGATAAAACACGATGTTGCTTCATGAAAAGTCACCATCAGTTCAGAAGCCGTTTCACTCAGATATGCTTCATGATAGGGAAAAAAAGATGATTGCAATTTCCGTTTCATGCCAGCTTTAATGAAAAACCGCCATTTTTATAGTTTGGCTCAGAAGAATAATAATAATAGTAGATCAGACTTTCTCAAGCCAACTTAATTATTATTTTAAAGTAAAGGAAAATGCCTGTTAGTATTCATCGTTCAGTTATGTCTTTTGTATGGACAGTTGAAAGTGTTTCTGTTTTGGGATTACCATTGTGCGGAAGAGTGCTAGAGTTGTGCTTGGGTTGTAAGATTGATAAAACACGATGTTGCTTCATGAAAATTCACCATCAGTTCAGAAGCCGTTTCACTCAGATATGCTTCATGATAGGGAAAAAAGATGATTGCAATTTCCGTTTCATGCCAGCTTTAATGAAAAACCGCCATTCTATAGTCAGTGTATTGACAAGTAATTATTTATTTACTAATTGCATTTGCTTGAAAATATGTGATGACACCCAAACCTTAACCTTAAAACCTGGGTGTGACTTTCAGTGGGTTATGATTGGGACATATGAAGTCTTACAAAACTGCTCTGAGACTTGGGTTGAAGATCCAAAAGCAGCTTTAATAAGGGCAATCCACAAGCGTAATCCACATTGCAAGCAAAGGGTAACCACAGGGCAAACGATCCTAACAACAAACAGCAACACAGGCAAACAGAGTAATCCAGGAAACCAGGCAGAAGATCAAAACAATGACACGGGCAACCAGAGCGAACGCTCAGAAATGCAGTTGAAACACTAGCAAGACTTTGCAAAGAGAGCGTGAACACATATAGGGTTTATATAGGAAACCACAAACAAGCTAATCACACACTGGTGGAAGTAATCAAACATAATGAGTCCAGGCAAAGGGTTATGGGAAATAAAGTTGAATCAGACAACAATGAAAAAGAAAATCAGACAACGAAGACCACAGAATGCTGAGCAGCTGAAGTCTTGCATTAATCGAGATCGGGCAAACATTTTGCTTGCAAAATTTTAACAATCAGTACCGTTCCACGCGCCATGGGTGGGCATTGGGGGGCCTGGCCCGCCCTGTGAGTCACTAGTGCCCGCCCTGGACGAGCCTGCTGTCTCCCTTCACCTGTTCACCAGCCCTTGCTTGTTTGCACAATACATATATTTTTATCAATAGGCTACTGTTATCAAAAGTTATCGGTATTGAGATGAAATTTTGTTATTGACCAAATACTTATTTTCCACCATAATTTGCAAATAAATTCTTTAAAAATCCTACAATGTGATTTTCTGGATTTTTTTTTCTCATTTTGTCTCTCATAGTTGAGGTATACCTATGATGAAAATTACAGGCCTCTCTCATCTTTTTAAGTGGGAGAACTTGCACAATTGGTGGCTGACTAAATACGTTTTTTCCCCACTGTATATATAACTCCTGAATAAAAATAAAAATGTGTTTGGACTGATTAAAAAAATGTTTTTTTTAACATATTTGATTGGTTTGTCGATAGTGAGCACGGAAATGTTTGGTTGTTTGCTAAGCATAGCGCTACCGCTTAACGTTAGTTGTAATTTAAAAAAAGCTGAGCGATCTCGTGTGGCAGTTCTATGTATATACAGCGTTTCTTTAATCAAAAACCACCAAAGTTGGCAGGAGAGCCCTGGGTGTCGCAGTTCGCAAGACGTTGATTCAACTCCCGACAGTGCAGAGGCCAGCCGTTCCAGTTGCCAAGGCCTCAAGCAAGGGTCGTCACAGGTGGCAGCACCAGGGGATCTCAGAGTTCAGAAACCCAAACAGGTAATCTTAAAAAACTTGCTCGTGTTTTCTCAGACAAAAAAAGATCATTCAAAAGCTCCTGGTATAGAAGCAAAGACTGGCTGGAATACTCTATTCATGCAGATGCTGCATTCTGCTACCCATGCAGGTCCTTGTCTAGACATTGTGAAAAATGAAATAAAACATATGATATGGTTATATACATCAGAAAATAGCACTTTGAGTAGACCTGGTTTTATATTAGTTTTTATTATTACCGGTATTTGTTTAAACTTGTTGGAGTGGTGATCTGCTTATATTTGACTATTTTATAAAGTCCCTGCCTTTTAAAAAACAAAATGTAACACAAAGATATAGGCTGTAACAATGAATACATACTGTAAATAAAATGTGTCAGGGCTTGACATTGTGACAATTGTGTTGTGTATATAATTGATTATGAAGCAATATTCTCATCAGAGTTCAATCGGCTTTGAATATTTAAATATGCATATTTGTGATATTTTTACCTTTATAAAGGGCATTCTCCCCTTATCTTTTTAAATATATGCTTCATCTTTCATTTTAAATTCTTAATTTTGATCAATAAATTAAATTAGAATAAGACACTATAGGGCTGTTACTAATCAAATTGAATAATTCACACTAAATAATTTACATTAAATAATGTTATGAGATTGTTTAAAAAAAATTGAATATACAAATAAGACATGTTGGAAAGAATGACACTTTTAAACAGACTAAAGCGCCAGTTGGTGGCGGCAGGTGATAAGCAGTCTTATTAAGCGAGTCATTGAGTCATTCATTCAAACGATTCGCTCAAACGGCTGATTCATCAAGAATGAGGCAGTTGTTTATGAATGGGTCATTGAATCTTTGACTCAACCGATTCGTTCAAAACGCTGAATCATTCAGTAATGAAAACACGGTTGAGTTTTCTGCTGTGACCTTTGTTTGAACTATTTTCGCTGCTGAAACAACAAAAACAGTCAATATTGCGTCTAATATGTAAGTGACTTAATATTAATTACTTGTTTAGTAACTGTCATATGAAATCAGTGTCACATTTTCAATCGTGATGGTATTCAGCAGCACTCTTGGTCGTGTGATGTTGCTTAACTGTATCATGTTATAAAAACTTTTTTTTAACCGCAGTAGGTTAACTGAGTTTAACTCACTTTGTTAACACACTGTTAACTCACTTTGTGTTTGCTGCGCTCATTTGTTTCGATTTCTCCTTGAGAGAGGCAGCGCAGCCTTGTTAGCGTCATTACATTATGCACTATCGATCGCCATTTACGTTAGACTAAATGATGCAGAATCATTATCGCGTTTTGGTGATTGTTATTGGCGTTTTAA